AGGTGTCTGCTTGGTGGGCGGGGGGGGGGCGGAAATGAGCATGATAGTTTCATCTTAATGGCCTTCAGTTAGCTCATTCAAACTTACTGTTTCCAGCTCTTTATGTGCATCCAGGGCAGTGGTTTCCCTGTCAGACTTCTCTTCCACTTTCTTCAAAATATTCTGCAGCGGAGGAAAGACTGTGTTAACTCTGATCCCAATCTGACAGCACAGAAAAGTCTTTGCTAGCCTCAGAGTTATTTCTAGCCATCAGCCTAATTACAGGATAGGTGACAGAGTACAGTGACTCTCACCTCTTAGTTCCTCTTTTGCATTAAAACCTGTTCCCATCTGACCTCCTCTCTAAAAGAAATATAGCAGGCAGACTCCTATTTCATAAAAATAAATGAATAAATAAAAATAGCTAGAACTGGCTCTAACAAACAGTGCTATTGGTAATCCCAGTGGGATAAGACCATTTGGGACTGAGCTGTTTCCTCATCCCTAGATAGAAGCATGTCCTCCAGCACAGTGTTTAGACAAGCTGGCAAAGCTTGGGGGGAAGATGGCTGACAGAGTCTGGTCCAAGCCACCATGATGTAGAGTATTATACATGGAGCATTTCCATGTTCTGCAGCTGTTCTGCACTGTGCATCTGTGTGTCAGCATCCAAACCATCAGGCAGCTAGGCTGATGACTGTTGCTACTCCTTCTAGAAGCTTGACGAAGTTCCTCCTCAACTCTTTTGCTCAGTAAAAGCTATCTGGCAAATTCAAAACTAATTTGGGGATGGTTTCTGAGTGACTGAAATCTTTTTTTCTATAGTTGCTGAGAACGTCTGATTCTGTGGAAAGGCTTCATCCAGCTCTAGGGTTGATCGTGGCTGTATCTAAGCCTCATTCACAACTGTTAGAAAGGAAAATTCCAGGAGTGATCCGGAAGACCTTCGGGAGAGACAGAAGAGCAAAACTGTACCTGCACCAGCAGCTTGAGCCGAGTGATCCTTTGAAATGGCAGAATCAGGAAGGAAGAAAAGGACAGGCCTTTGCACTTGGGATCCAGCTCCAGCTGTGAGATCACTTCCCGGAAAGCTGGCTTGTCCTGGCTGAGAGGAGAGAGAGAGATGGTAAGGGCTTTGAGTGCTACCCTGCCTGTGACTCTGGTATGTGGCTGGTGACCCAAAAGCAGCTTCGTCCCAGAGACAGCATCTGCCTGGCCTCTCCCAATAAGAGAAAAGAGGGGAGGAGGAGACTGAATGCTTCTAGGTGTATTTTAGTTTAAATCTAGAACTAGTTATAGTGTTGGGGGAGGGAAAAAATAGACTTTTAATGTACAAGCCATGGTACTGTTCACATGTGTTAGCACATCTAGCTCAGCAGCATACGCTATGTGCGTAGGTGTGTGTGAATGGGGTGTGTGTCCAAGTAGATGAGTCAGAGGCATAATTATATATTTTTACACAGTTGGATCTCTGTGACAAGGTGAAATTCACACAGTCGTAAGAACAAGACAAGCCACAAAACAGCTGAAGCTTGGCTACTCCTGCCTGCTTAGCTGGATGATGGAAATCGTTATCTGGCCTGAGAAGAGCACAGGCCATGCACGGGCCTTCCCTGATGGTGTTTGCAGCAGATGAGGGCATTGCTGGGCCACAGACACGGCTGCACAGAGCAGCCTCACAAACCCCAGCTGCCACAGTCAAAGACAATGCCTCTTGGCAACTGTGGGGCCCTGAGGAAAACTTACATTGCTGGAGCCCTGGCTAGCAGAAACTGCATGGATCAGAAGACATTGCTAACTATGCAAAACCTGTCTTTACCATGTGTGACTCGCAAAGATCCAAGAGAAGCCATTTTAAGTGTTTCTCCCTGCTGCAGCAGGTACTTGTGTGACGGTGTGGCTCACCAGAGCCACAGCACAATGGACCTGCATGTGTCTGAGGAATAGCCAAATGGGGGGATCTGTGACACACCTCAGGCTTTGAGTTCAGCCAAGTGCTGCAAAATTCTTGTGCTAACTAGGAGCCTGTGGAAGGGAGTCTATTCTTTTTGATTTCCTTTAGGTTCTCCTGCAGATGGAAAAAAATGCTGCCTTCGAAATTCATATCTAGGAATACCTCTATCTCCCAACAGGTCTTTTTCAAGCTCAAGTAATCCAGCCTATTGCTGCTTTGCTTCTGAGTGTTTAGCTAATGGCTCTAGGCAAACTGTTTATATGCTGCAGCTATACTGCTCACCTCTGACTGAAGGAAACCCTGCGGTACCCTGCTTTTGGAAAGAACAGTTGGCCAAACTCAACAGAGGCCCCTTAAAGTGGGGGGGTTTTTTGCCTTAAAAGCTGGAGAGCAGAGAAAGGAAAGGATTAGGGTTTGTTACATTCCCCTGAACCAGCTGCTGCTATGGGTAGGAAATACAGTGCAGCGTGTGCAATTGGCTGTCCTGAAAGAATCCAGGACATTGTAACTGAAGAGAAATTAATTCTCCTGCTCACAGACAAGCTTGTAGGGCACTCTTTGTTTTGAGCTGGCATAAGAGTATTCCTACCAGACCAAAAGATCTGCTAAACTTGAAAAATACTGAAAAAATATCTTGGATTATATCCTCAGGCCTAGGTAACATCTGTGCATGTATACCAGAATGTGAAGAAAATGGCCTTTTTTTTTTTTCCCTTTTAAGAAAATTTTGTTGTTCTGGAAAAAAAAAAAAAAATCTGTACTTTGGGAAGGTCAAATGCCTTGCTGAGAAGCTTGGGAAAAGCAGTGGCTGTTCCTGTCATGAGAGCTCTGTATTATATTCTTTGCCTTTCAATCTCTTGCCTCTATGTGCAGTTTAAAGATACATACATTTCACAAGTGTGTATCCCCGTGTACACCATAAATATTTCCCACAGTTGGGAACTGCTGGCTCTGAATTTACTTGCTATGTTACTCGCATCCTATATCACCCCAGCCTTGCTATAAAGCCTTTTAATTGTGTTTTCTTTTTATAGGTGCAGTGAAATATCAGCGAAGTGGGAAATCCCGTTTCTGTGCTATCTAGCCCTTCCTCATAAATATCAAAATTACAGCTAAATCCGTCACCTATACAATTTTGCAAAATAATTTAGCATCAAGCACTGGAACTCACAGAAGCTGCTTGTAAGCTCTCTCCTGGTAGGTCTGGTTGGAGACGTAGGTGATGTACACTGAGAAGTGATTAACTGTATGCTGGTAGACAATATCGCACACATCCGAGATCACAATATTCTCCTCCACCCGCTGCTCGAGGTCCAACAGGAAGCTAGATGAGAAACCCAGTGCTCATATTAATTGTGACCTGTCTGTCCCAGGTAGTTCCCAGAAGCAGCCCTTGGGGTTCAAAGCAATGAATGTGTCCACAGGGTCTTTGAAAAGACAGTGGGTGACAGACTGCCCCTAGTCAGCTCCTCCATCCCTCTACAAATGAGGTTAGCTAAAGCGATGCCATTCGGCTGGACAAAAATCCAGCAGCAGTTGTCTTACCGCTCACTAACAGCCATGACATCCAGGACATTGGAGAAGAGGATGTGTGCCTCGGACTGGTGTAAGATCTTTTTCAGACGTTCGTTCTCCATGAAGTGAGACACCAGCAGATTCAGACTCTTGTAATACGAGGCTTCAGAAGTAACCAGCTCAAACATGGCCTGGGAGAGAATCCCAAAGAAGAAAATCAGTAGGTACCTTCTAACTCTATAGAGAGGCACACATAATGTTAATGAGAACATCTGTGCTGCACACAGTCATGGACCTTGCACCCAAGTTCCAGGTCCAGAGTATGGGGAGAGGTAAGCATGCAATGGCATTTGCCTTGTGTTACACAGGAGAGTGCACAGGGAAGACCTGAATGAGGAAGATTTTCTCCCTCAACCATCAGTCCTGGCTCCTTCTGTCTCTCTCCTAAGTTGTTTGACCACATTTCCTTCCACTGAATCTTTCCAGCAGAATTATCTCTTTCTCTCATTATATATAAGCAGTCTGATTTTGTGCACATGCACACATAAGAGCACTTCATGGGCTCCCTCCTTCCTTCCTAGTGTCACTCAGTCTTGACCTGAGGCTGCTCCAGGCACCAGCCCCCTCTATGCCTACTTGTCATAGTCCTGTACTTTCATCTCCCTTTTGGGGAGTTGCCCTCAGCAGCCCTCATACACTCTCCGACCCCCTGCTGATCAGAACAGCGCTGGCTTGTTGCTCTGCTCATTGTGGCTTATTGTGCTACCCAGGAGGGTCTCCTTGCACCATCTGTACTCTTGTTTTAGAAAAGCCATGGCGTAGGGCCTGGGATGTACAGCAGCCAGCACAGTCCCAGTGTGTGACCTGCTCCTTGGGGCAGAGCTAATACAAATACACAGCTGTGGTGCTCCAAGCCCCTGGGTCTTTCCTGACCCAAAGGAAATACAGCTGCTACTGTTCAAGTGCGGCTCCCTGGTCAACCCTGGCCATACACTTTTCTGACCCAACTCACCAAGGACTGGGACAGGACACAGTAGTCCCTAACTATTACCACAAGTCATAAATAATCTCCAAATTTCAGTTCTTGCTTCTGTTAGAAGAGAAAACTCTGGAGCAAAGCCTGGCTTCCTCAGGCCAGGGATGTGGTCTGGGGAAGCAGAAGGACAAATTGGTGGTTTGGTTCAGAGATAAAAAACAATTTAATGAGACGAGGATATAAAGCCTTCTGCCTACAGCAAGTGCTGCAGGGACAGCCCACTATTACCACACCCTTACTCTACAAGGAAGCCTTTGTTGTCTTTGTTCAGAGGTAGATAAAAAAGGTGATTATTTACACAACTACTGAATCTGTTAGTTGCAGTAAGATTAACTGAAGATCCTCACAACGGCTTCAATGTGGTGAAATATCATTAGATCCTTCAGACATCTCTTGATGAAGCTGCGTCTTGGGCTCCTTGTCCTGGGGCTGGCCCATGCTGCCGCTACTGAAAGAGGAACGTTTTGGTAGCTCAGTGAAAGTCTCACTTCCTTGAGCCGAAAGCTGCTTCGACCCTTGAGCCCAAGCTCCCCTACTGCCCACACCTCCTCTGCTGCACCCTGGTGAGGGTGGGAGCCGGCCAGGCAGTGCGGGTGCAAGTCCCTGAGCTCTGCCGGCTCTCAGAGGCTGCAGGGGCCCAGCTGGAGTCGAGGAGATCCAATGGAGCAGCAGGTACATGCAGTATTTTTTGTGCTGTGCATATGGAAAAATATCTTCCACATTAGCCGGGGGTCTGTCTTGTGGCTTGGTTGTTCTTTTTTGGGGTGGTTGGGGTTTTTTGGTTTTTTGTTTTTTTAAGAAATTATTTAAAATTCTCTGCTGATCAGTTTTTGACCTTTTCCTGGAACTGAGGTACAGAGACCCGGGTTATATTCTTGATACTGTGCTGCAGTCCAAGATCTGGAAGGATGGGCACAGCAAGGCGGGACTGTTACTCAATCCAGAGCTGCTAAAATATCAGTTGTAGTGACGTTTCAGCTCCTTGCAGGGTTGGTAGCCTAGGAAATATTCCCAGTGGGCAGTTAAGTCAAACAGGTGGTCCTTTCGTGCACCAGAGAAGGAGGCTATGCCTCCACAGCCCCCAGAAGGGAGACAGAGCAAAGGGTGTGGGTAGAAATGAACGTACTTGGTCAGTGTATGTGGAACAGCTGGTGTTTAAGGAATAAGACAATGTTTTATTTTTTTCAGGGCCAGAGTCCCATTGAGAAAAGTGGAGGAGTATCAGCTCGGCTTCTCCCAACAGCTTCACCAGGGCACCTGGTGAACCTGCGACAGAACCTCTCTCTCTCTCTGCATGACTGGCTAGGTCCTAAATGCACCTCTTACAGCTTTAACTGTAGATTTTATTTGATAAATGAGAGGAGAAGTGGAAATAGGTAAAGATACAACAAAGAATAAGACAGGACATGCTGGGACAGCCTGTCCCTTCCAGATATCCTGGGGATTGATACCACCAGTCATTTTGCACTGCAGCTTTCCAGGCACTCCAAGCCAGGACTTTTTTCTTCCAGGTTTGATTGCAGAATGGCCACGAGAGCCAAAATCAAGACATGCCACTCTACCACAGCCTTTAACCCTCAGGCAACTTGCTTCATCTAGAAGGTTGCTTCCTCATCTGCAGAAGCCCCTCTGCCTATGTTTGGAGAAATTAATTTGTGTGTGTTTGCTCTTCACCATAGTGGGGGGTGCTAGACCCGCATGGACATGTGCGGAGTGCAAGCCATACTAAAGAAATAATGAAATCCATAGTGAAAATATCAATGCACAGGGTTCTGATCTAAAGGAGATGCTAGGAAAGTAAAGAACATCTCCACTGATCAGGACAAGCTTCTGGAAGTGTTCACAGCATGTGCAAGGCACAAGTTTCTTAATTTACTTTGGAGATCCACCTGGTCCTCTGCAAACCCGAAGTACCTACTCCAAGCAGCCCAGACTGCCATTTGCCTTTTGAATGGTAAGTATGAGCTGCAAACCTCCTAAACTGGCACCAAACATCCAACCATGTGATGCGATGATGTGTTTTCTGTGGAATAACTGAACTTTGCTAGCTCTAAGCAGTCACTATAAAAAAAGAGTATGAGCTTCTGGTCTCAGAACTGCAAAAATAGCTAGAAAAAATTTTGAACTAAATGTCAATTAATGTAATATTATCTTCCTGAGTCTACAAATAGTCTGAAACTATCTCTTGGAAACATGACCAACACTGTTCCATCAGTCCTCTGGGTCGTTAACCATGAAATCTCATAGTCATGTAAAAGCTATACTAATCATTTTCGTTACATATGTTTTGGCAGAGAAACTGAGAAAGGAAGAGAGAACTGAAGCCTAAGGAAGAAGGAAATGTAGAAGATAAAAAAGGAAAAAAATTAAGAGTCACCAAAGACAAGAGTAAGTACAAGCTAAGTTCCTATTGAGACAATACAGTGTTTTATTGCATGGATTGGAAATATCTGTTCCCAATGGCCCTGCTCTTCATGTAAACCACGAGGTAAGAAGGAGAATTCTGGTCTAGTCTAGGAGGGATGTTGTTCTGATCCGATGCCATGGCATTGGCTGTGACCAGCTCTCAGACCTGGTTGCCTTCACAGGGCCAGTCTGACCTCCACCTGCTAGAAGTGCAGTAAGTCCAGCACGAGAGCTCTCTGGAGGTTTGAAATCTAAGGTTTGCTCCAACAAGGAAAGGAGATTAAAAATTTTTTGTCTGGACATTTTTGTGAAAATGGATCAAGAGAGAAAGACTGCCTACCTGTCCGCTCTTCAC